GCAATTAATAAGGGGAAGAGTTTAAGAATCTCTTTACTAATTTACTGAGTACTCTGCAGCCATTAAAAGAATGAGGTGGAATGAGCATGTTCGGTATGTACTGACATGGAATGGTCTCCAATAGATGGTAAAAAGAAGCTAATCTTAGACCAGTTTTGCACAGTATGGCCCCATTTATGTGGAAGTAGTTTGTCTCATGTGTCACTCTGTGTGTGTATACACAAATGCATATATGTCTGAAAAGCTACATAAAATACTGTCCACAGGGACCCCTCTAAGAAGGCAAAGGGATCAGAGGAGGCAATGTGAAGGATGATTTTCACTTTTTCCTCAATGAATTTAGCATTGCCTGAGTTATGTGTAGTGATTATGGGATATGTTTCTTTGGATTTTTTAGATCTCTTCCTTCCACTATCCTTCCTGAGAATCAGATGTGCCCTCTTTAATCAGAATAAGTGAAACAATCTGGGAAAAAGTTTTGAGGTGAATCAGGACTGAGCTGAGAGAAAAGGGCTACACATTGCAAATGGAAAGAAAATAATAAACACTAGACTGGAAGTCAGAAGACCCAGTCTCGAGTCCTCATTCTTCTACTAATTAGCAAGTGAGATGACCATTCTGGACATCCTTTTCTTCACCTGAACAAGGAGAGTGTTCTACAAGGTCCTTCTGATGTTCTCCAAGGTTCCTTCCAGTTCAAATACATGGATACTATGAATACTTAAGGCTGGTAACTTGCCTCCAGATTCAATTTTCCCAGCCAAAATGTCCCCAAAATACCTGATCTAAAATAGTTTATAAAAATTATCAGCAAGTAGCTGCTAAAAATAGTTATTATGAAGACTACAAAAAAACCTGTAAAATGCTCACAGAATAAGAAGGAACTCAATAAAGTGTTGGGCTCAGCATGGTCACAGCCATGCAAAATACTCACACACATGCACGGAATCGAGGACCACAAGAGATACACAGAAAGGAAAATAGTCACGTCACCCAGCTGATATTTTTTCTGACACCAACCAGTTCTCCCATACCAACACCAGTTCTGATTCTCTGACACCAACTAGGTGTCCTGTAATTCAATTCATTCTAACCTAGGGTTAGCACGTTAGCATCAGACTCCACAGGTGTTTTTGTTTTGTTTTTGATGGATAGCCAGTATGGAGATCCAAACCCTCAACCCTGGTGTTATCAGTACCACGTGACTCCACAAGTTTAAGGGCTCAGTCCACCAAAAGACTGCCTTTGCTTCAGAGACCACTTGCAAGCACCAGGTCACTAGGTTACCCACACTTCTGTATGACTTGGCTACAAACTTGAGTGTTCCCACGATAACCCCCCCACCTCAAGTTCAATAATTTGCTAGAAGAACTCACAGAACTCAAGAAAATGCTGTACTTATTATTATAATTTATTATAAAGGATACACATGAACAGCCAGATGAAGTTTCTAGGGCAACATCCAAAAGGGTCCCCCCAGCACAGAGCTTCTGTCCCTGTGGAGTTGGGGTCTGCCACCCTCCCAGAATGTGGATATGTTTGCCAACTCAGAAGTTCTCCAAACCCCATCATTTAGGGGTTTTTAATGGAGATTTCATTGTGTAGGCATGATTAATTAATTAAATCCCTGGACACTGGTGAATAAACAATCTCCAGCCCCTCTTCCCTCTCTGAAGGTCAGGGGGTGGGAGTGGTGCTGGAAGTTCCAACCCTCTAATCGAACCTTGGACTTTCTGGTGACCAACCCCCTTCCTGAAGCTCTCTAGGGGCCCTACCAAGAGTCATCTCATTAGCATAAACCCAAGTATCCTTGAAATAGGTTCATTATGAATGACAAAAGATGCTCCTATTATTCCTATCACACAGAAAATTCACAGGGTTTTAAGAGGTCTGTGCCTGAACTGGGCACAAAGACCAAATATATCTTCCTTATTATACCTGCCAAGTATATGCATATATTTCCTATTATACTGCACCATCTTATCAACAGGTTCTTTAGGAACATTTCTATAATCTTTTATATTAAAAGGTTCAATGCTTCTCCATTTACTTTTTTTAAAATTTAAGTCCTCAACTACGACTATGATATCATTTCATCTTTATATGGGTTTCCACCAAGATGCTTTTGTGCAAGAACCTTTAGAATTAAAAAAAAAAACAAATGGTTCCTGTAAGAAAGAAAGGGCATGTCCTTACAATGTTGCAGCCACTCCATACCGTTTCATACTGAGAAACAAGAGCAATCGGTTTCATCAAACCCAGTTACCCTTTCCCATGAAATGATTACAACAGAGTAGGTAGAGAAGTAAACATTCTGCAGACATCAAAGAGGAGGTAAAGAAGTGAAGGGATCCCACCATGACATAAGGCCAATTACAGCTTCTGGAAAACGCAAGCTGAAATCGTTTCTCACAGTTTTTGGTGAAAGCTTTTATGTCACTATACTGCTTGATTGTGCATAGAATAGTTGTAGCAATTTGTTTTTTTTGTGGAAATATGAAGGACCGAATCTAACCAAGGTAAAAGGACACACTCTAATAGATTATCATGACTGGTTATAGGAGTTATAGTCATTAAGACAGTGTGAAACTGGTACAAGGTTAGACAAGGCTAGAGAATGGTGAAATGGATTGAGCAGGGGAAGGTGGGTTTTTCCATAAATTCTGGGTAATTTGGATATGGAAAAAACAAACTTGACCCCACATTGACTCATAAGTAAAAATCAATGCCCAGTATATTGTAGGTCTCAAAAGCAAATAAAGAACACTAACGCTTTTGGAAAATAATTTAGGAGAATATTTTCATGATGGGGTTAGGCAAAGATTACTTTAAGGAAGCTCAAAACGCCCTACCATAAGGCAAGATTCGTTAGAGTAAAACTGAGAATTTCTACTCAGCAAAAGCACCATTTAGAGAGTGAACAGGCAACCACAGAGTGGGAGAAAACACCTGCAGTGCTTACCCAAAGGGTTCATATGCAGCATATAAAGAGAGTTTCTCTATAAATTAGTAAGAGATAGATGACACTGAAACTGAACGAGTGACTTAAACAGGCATTTCTTTAAATACTGATATATTGGCTTAAAATCCATCACTCTTTATCCCTCCCTCACATGGGGCTGTCATTCTCTCCAAAATATAATTTCAACTCATTTATTAATTATGTGTATCTTTCAGCAAGTTGTAACCTCACCGGCTGCCATCTATAAAATGAATAGGATGAACTAACTGATCTCTAAGATGCTTGCAGCCCTAAATTTTAAATATTCTAAAGAACTGAAATTCTATATTTTAATTTCTTGCTTCTATTCCTCTAGGCCAAAGATCTTTAATATTTTCTTGAATGCGATAGGTGATTCCTGAGTCACTGGTCCAAATTTTGGGATTCCTCCTCCTGGATGTCTAGCTTTAGCTGCCATTTACGTTGGGGAAGTCAATTTCCTCCCCGCAGCTCCTAGTTCTACAGTAAGTAGAAGCTTAGCACATTCACTTCACCTCCAGTTTCCCGGTACACTTCTTTTTCCACACCCACACAGTGCAAAGCTTTCCTGGTCTTTATCTGTACAGCTTCCAATTTCCAAGCTATCACAATCACTCCATGCAAATGATGGTAGCATGCCACCAAGGTCTGAAATGTGCTATAAACCCATGGCCCAGACTACGAGAGAGGACACTTAGGATAACTGGTCTGGACATGTGACTTTAAAGAAAAATCCATTCATGGCTAATGCAGCCTGTTAGCTATGAATGGAAACGTTAAATCTCAAATTACAATAGGCCAATAAAATATACTGAGATATTTATAGCTCTTCCTAGCTGGTGAAGTAAAGATTTCTGACTCACCAGTATGGATGACAAAAGGGCTCTATCACTTTATAACAAAGGGAACCCAAATTAGAAACAAACCAGAAAGTAGGTGGCTCTTTAAGTTGAGGGATGGGTTATTTCTCTGATCCAAAATATTCTAAACAGGGATTTGTCAGAGCTGCTCCAAGGCTCTGAGTGGTATAAGTCCCAGGAGATGCCACAAGTATTGACAGCTTGCTGACTCACAATAACCACAGTGCCTCATGCCACATTCTTTTCCACAAAAGCCATGGACCTCACTCTCAGCAATACACATGCCATCCCCCAGCCCCAGGCCAGCTCTGAGGTGCTGCAAGCGGAGAGAGCAGCTTTTCCAGATGTACATTGGAAACCAAATATACACAGTTCATTTCAGAAAACCTGAGTGCCATGTATAGGTAATCTCCAAGTATCAGAAAGAAGGCAAAGGTTTTATCAGAGATACATATACATACACACACATGCAATTACGATACATCAATCCTCTAATTATTCAGGGCTTTTTGGTTTTTTTATTTTATTTCATGTGAACCTTTCATTTAAAAAGTAAAAAACAGATTCTTATTTCATTTAAATAGATTCAAATAAAGTTTTGGGAAATTTTCCAGAGAGTTAGATTTCCTTAAAAGTGGCCATGCATTAAATAAAGCTTTGTCTAACGAAAGTGAACGAGTAACTGATATGGTATCCGTACATTCACTCTCCACAACGTTCCTTTATCTCGAAAGCATTACTCAAAGACAAACAGCAAATCGGATTACAGCCCTGGAGAATCATACTCTGCCTCTTCCAGCAACACTGCCAGCTCACGCAAACATTATATGAGGACCAACCACCTGCTTCCTGAAGAATTGGTAATTTACCTTCTCCATTTGTTCCCCAAAGGTTCTCCTACTTCACACACACATGTCCCCTTTCATTCATTCCATTGTGTTCATCTTTCATCTCTAAGAGATTTGTTAACAAAAAATGTGCAAAGGTTCACTTTAACAGCAAAACCAAAAAGAGAAGACTCCAGCATTACACTTTATAATGGAAAAAAAAAGAAAAGAAAAAAAAAAACCCCTCCAAATTCTGAGAGTCTACTGAAGTAGAACTAAAAGCCACTGCAGGAAGAGATTCATTCCTGGGTACCTGGCTTCTTTTCACATTACCTGCTTCAGTGTACTTCAGTCCCACTTTTTCTTCTGTGTCTTTTGTCTTTGGAGGCGGCCAGACAGCTTGGAGTCTGCCAGGAGTCCTATCATCCTGCTCAGTGGGGCTCTGGTCAGGCTGTTGAAAAAGTGGGCAGAGAATAAGTTAAATAAAATGTGGCCAGAGCCAATTAATTCCTGAAAATAAACATGCTAACTCTGATTCTAAAATTAGTTCCAATGGACAGTTGCACATTGTTCTCTTTTACTGTAATTGAGACATCTTACTATAAAGTATGATCTTTTTCCAAAAATGTAAAGTGATCAGGTGGGGTAAAAAAACCCACAAAAACAAAACACACATTGAGGCTAAATACTGTACACCCTTAATATGATATTACATGATTATTTCAAAATGCACAAGTATACTTTGAGTTAAGATACAGACACAAATGTACTACATCCAGGTAGATTTACAGAACTGTTTATAAGTGTATCCCAAACAACACCAGGGTTATTTATAATGATAGGGACTAATTCTGCATTTTCCATGAGCATTAGCAATAGGCCAAAACACACTTCCTAGTATTCCACACTGCTAACTTCGATTTTTTTCTTTCCTATTAAAAAAGAATGAGATTCCCTTCATATTTACCTTTATAGGAGCTGACTTTTTTAAACTAGGAGAATGCTATATTGCATTTAGTTTTTAACTATAGTAATCTGAGATAATTTTTCCAAAGACTTTAATTCTTAACATTTTAACTGAAGATATTAAATATATAAGAAGGAATGATAATAGTCTACCGAATTAATATTAAGCAAGAACCTTTAACATCTATTGGACAGGTTCTTGCTAGTCTTTATAAATTACCTGAGTTAATTTTCTTTGAATAATAATGACTTCCATTAATTAGATGCTTCTCATGCACTAACTTCATTTAATCCTCACAACAACCATATAAGGTAAGGACTATTTTCCTCATTTTGCATATGGGATAGAAGCTCAGAGATTATCAAGGTCACCCAGTCAGCAAATGACAAGAGTTAAAATTAAAACCCAGGTCTCATTCTAAATCCAGTGCTCAATAAGGAAGCCTTGTAACCAAAGTAGAACATTTTAATCACATCACAAACATTTTGCCAAATGGCAAACTTTCAAAGGAAAAATATAGTTTCCCAGAGGTATAATTAAGTGTGGGGAAATCCCCGTAAATCTGGCTATACTTCCATATTGCATCTTTTCCACACGCCGCTTAGTTTTTATATGTACATTCACTATTAATGTGTAAACTCAGTGTGACAGTTTCCTTTTCCTACCTGCACATCTCTTTTTATATATATGTATATATATATATATATATCCCTCTTATAATATTCCAGAAAAATATAAGAATGAAAAGCACTTCTGTAAAATTCCATACTCCTTACAAGGACGATTTAATTTCATTATAATTATTTTTCACCTAAAAGTCACTAACAATAGATAACTAGGATTCACTTCTAAAGGAAACCTGAAAAGAAATACAGCAGCAGCACATTTTACGACAAAAATGCAAATACCAATACTACATACACTTTTGGAATCTGAGGGACCACCAGCTGGCCTTGACTTGGACCGTTCAAACACAGCTCTTAGTGACTCCTTCTCATGTCTCATCTTGCGCTTGATGGCCTCTAGCTCAGAGGTGTCAGCTGTGGTCCCCTTTTTGGGGGGACGGACGAATAAGGCTTTGAAGGCCTCCAGGGCAGTCTCGGGCGGCTTCGGCTTGACCTCGCCGCCCTGGGCGCGGGCTTCTCTGGGGCCGCTCTGGCTCTCCTGGTCAGCAATGCAGCCCATCTCTTCTCCCCTGGACGATTCAGGGTCCGCTGCCTTCAGGTCGGTTTTGGGCATGTCAATATTGAGCAGCTGAGAGAGCTGCTCCAGGAGAGTGGGAGTGGCCTTCAGACCAGTTGCTTTCTCCCCACTCTTCACTGTCTGTGGCCCTGCCTGCCCAAGGGACTTCTGAACAGGCTGGGTCAATTTGAGCAGAGCCAGGTCCCCATCCTTTGGTTTAATTTCAGTGATAGTCTCCCCTCCCTCAGCCATAGTCCCCTTCTTCAGCACACGAAGTCCACTAAAAAAAGCTGGAAGCTGGAATGACTTCTCTCCAGGGACTTCTCTTTTAGGATACGCACTCTCGGCGACACCAACACTCAAATTCTGGTCTGTTACTGCAGGTAGGACTCCGGACCCTTCTTCTCTGGCTTGGCCCTGGCTGGGGCTGTGCTCTGCCTGAAAGCCACCATCACCAGGTTCCCGTCTGCTACTTATCTCAGGTGGAGTCCTTTGAGGATCTTCTGCACAGACCTCTGCAATGTCCATTTCCCCAGTAGCAATATTTTCCCTAGAACCTCCCGGTTTTTCTTCAGGCTCCTGAGATGGCTCAGATACAACAATCCTGGGGGACTCTGGGTCATTGGCATTGCTCCCCTCCTCTGGCTCCTGGCCACCATCATCAGAGTCCGAATCACTGGTGGTGTGCACAAGGGTCCCACGAACCCAAATGACATTGTCTCTGGTCACACTCACAGTAGTGAGAGGAAGAACCTCTTGACCAGAGAGAGAAGTCCTTGCTTCTGCTTGTCTCTGACTTTCCTCTGATTCTGTCTCCACCCCCGCAGGCTTCCCATCATTTCCAAGATTATGTGGAACCTGAGCCTCTACCTCCTGCTGATCGGAATCATTGCTGGGATCATCCTGCTGAGGTGTGGAATCCACCTCCAAATTACAGAATACTTTCAGCACAGCATCTTCCTTTTCAGGCTTCACAGATTCCAGTTTATTCGTAAATCCAAACAGGGATTTCATAGAGAACTTACTTAGGATGGACTGAGCCATTTCAAATCCGACTTCGGGTTTTTCTGGTTCGGAGACATCACTGCCATTCAGAGTGTTACCAACATCCTCCATGTCTCAGCACTGCCCCTGGTAGAGGCTCTGCCTTGTGTTACCTTCCCCTGCTCTCTCAGTTTATCCACTCCATCTGCTCTTAATTTACAGGACAGAGAGCCGCAGGACTCGGGCGCCAGGCTCTCAGCCGCTCAGCAAACACACTGGGTCTCTTTGAGGTCACTATGCCCTCCTTCCGGTTTGCGCGATGATGGTGCCCAGGGCAACTGTGGAGCCTCCGAGGCTGAGCACCTTACCACACGCGCACCCCGGGGAGGCTGCTCTTCTGAAACTTCCGTATTTATTCCCGTTGACAAAAGGCTTTTTGTCCTAGGGAAAGTCAGCCTGTCGGGTAATCCCAGCCCAGGGCTTCACGATGAGCTCCGCCCCAGTGCCGGCGGTTCTCCTGGTGGCATCCAACTTCCTCATTGGTGAGCAAGTTGAAGTTCCTGAAAGTGCTGAGCCAGCGAGCTGATCCTGGTAGCCCTTAACTACCGCCCGGAGCCGCCCAAGGGATTCAGAAGTGAATCAGCAGAAAAGGACTTTAATACTTCTACGGGAGCCCTCTTTTCCATCTGGATTACAATCAGAGGCCTGGGCTGTCCAGGCCAAACAAAACAGCAGTTCACCTAGATCAACAGTCACTTACAAAGCCCAAATCAAAGAAACAAAGAAAGAAATACATCATCTCAAAATGTGCAGAACTCTGAAAACAGTTAATTTACTGCCCTTGAAGCTTTTTTTTTCTTTCTTTCTTTCTTTTTTTTTTTTTTTAGTGCTTTCTTCCGCTTCCCTGCAGGTTTCATCTGGAATGCAGATTTTAGCTGCTGGGGTCAGAGGAGGAAAACCAACAGGACTGGTTTCAGATTACTGCTGTTTTAGCTCTGCCCTGGCTGTCCCGGTGTTCAAACAGGTACTTAGGCAAGCACGCCCACCACGCCCAGCATCCACCAGCCATAGGGTGGCAGAGTAAACAGCCCGGCCCAGCAGGAATGATTACCCTCTGCACTCCTGTACCAACCTCAGACTTCTTTCTGCTCAGCAGCAGTGGACTTCCTGGCTTCCTTAGGAATCCTAGCAGCAGCAGGGCACCCCTCTCCACGTGGGTGTTCCAACCATTATTAAACAAAACCTGGCATGACAGTGTAACACACAACCTGCCTTTTTAAGCAAAGCAATTCAAAGATCCCCAAAGGATCCACATTTCCTCAAAGGGCAAGACATCTAAAAGGTCTCTATCAATCTGGTCTCTATCACAGACCCAATTTGCCTAACACAAAAACAGGACAGACAAAACCACCACCAAACCTCAGCTCAGTGTAATTCCCACCACTCCTATTACCTGTTGGGAACCTGGCAACTACGGATGGGGGGAAATTGCAGCTCTGTTTCCTAGCTGCCTCTTGGGACAGCTTCCTGTCATACCCGAAGGTCTCAGTGTTTCTCAAATCTGATCCAATCAGCAGGCATAGATTGGGCACCTGGGATAGCCAGGGCACTGTGCTGGATCAAGAGGAGAGGCAAACTGGTTTAACAGTAGTCACCTGCTCTCTGAGCCAAGGTACAAGAAGATTGCGGCCAAGTGTTAAACACAAATAGCAATTTCTTCTGCAAAATGGAAGCTGAAGTCACAAGCAAAATGACAGTCTTGCTTTACCCGCAGCAAGGATTGGCTGTGGGTCACACGTTCATAACTTCAGCTGTACTCCCCAGTATTAAAAACAAGACTCATTGGCCGGCCTGTGGCTCACTCGGTAGAGTGCGGTGCTGGTAACACCAAGGCCACGGGTTCGGATCCCATATAGGGATGGCCGGTTAGCTCACTGGTTGAGCGTGGTGCTGACAACACCAAGTCAAGGGTTGAGATCCCCTTACCGGTCATCTTTAAAAAAAAAAAAAAAAAAAAAAAAAAAAAAAAAAAAAAAAAAAAAAAAAAAAAAAAAAAAAAAAAAAAAAAAAAAAAAAAAAAAAAAAAAAAAAAAAAAAAAAAAAAAAAAAAAAAAAAAAAAAAAAAAAAAAAAAAAAAAAAAAAAAAAAAAAAAAAAAAAAAAAAAAAAAAAAAAAAAAAAAAAAAAAAAAAAAAAAAAAAAAAAAAAAAAAAAAAAAAAAAAAAAAAAAAAAAAAAAAAAAACAAGACTCATTAGTATTAACAGTGACAAATTCTGATTGTAATAATACATTCATAGCAATGTGTTCAAAAGGAACCCTCACAAAATAAAAAGGGTATATGTCATTATATCCCACCAACCCCTATGGGAACGTTAAAAGAGCACTTTCTAAACCCTGATTTGATATGGTGTCCAAATGGATACTTGCCTGTTTACTCCTGATCTTCGCATATTTTGTGATTTTTAACTGAGTCACACCTCATCAAAAAGCCACCAGAACAGTGCAGAAAAATTCAATGGTGTCATTTAAGCCTCAAAACTTCCTGTCTAGAGGAAGTGTCCATTGATAAAAGACTTCTGCTTCTTCGAGATTGTGGAAAGAATCATCACACCAAATCATAAGATCAGTCTAAAGAGCTACACAGACAATCCAGCACAAGGCTGAGGGTAGGAAACACAGCACACATTTGGAGTTCTTTTTTGTTGTTTGTTTTTAAGTGAGAAGCCTCCATTTTCTTAGACATAACTAATTATTGATCTCCAGAATCAGCTTCCAGGCCCCTCAACATTTTGGGCAAAATGAGACAGAAGCTGAAAGGGGCTGTTAGCCTCTCTACACCAACAGGAGTATAAAGTTTCAGCATCCTCTCAATATCTCAGATGCCAACACAATTTCATGGAAAGTGAGGGCAAGTCTGATCCCAGGAGATATTTAATTGCAGTCCCGTGGCTCTAGGTAGATAAGGTATTATATTATGCTTATTTTATTTTGTCTTTTTGAGTTTTTTCTTTTTTGTGTGTTTAGGCTCATTTTAAATGTTAAGCAACCACAGCTGAAAGAAGGCAACTGACCACAGTTATACAACTAATAAGTGGGAGATAATATCTAACATTTGAGTGTCTGCTATGTGCCAAGCACTGTTTTAGGTGATCCACGCATATAAACTCAGTTGATACAGATAACTCATACAGATATGAGGTTGGTATTATTATTCTCTTTTTCCTGCTAGGAAACAGGCTCAGAAAGATTAAAAAGCTTGCCCAGGATCACAGAGCCAGTGAATGATAGAACTAGAGCTCGAATCCAGGCAGCCAGGCTCCAGAATCCACATTCTTAACCACTCTTCTAAAACCCAGAGCTCTACCTTCTGCCCTAATAGCACATTATACACAGCTGAGTCTTGAAGTATAACGATGTTTCAGCTCCGTTTGCTGGTGGTCTCTCACTAGGATGTGAAATGTACTTTACCCTCTGAGGTGACATAGAAGACAAACTTCACACTTATACTGAGAATGACCATTCTCTTTTCTTGCTGTAAGTTGAGGAAAAAATCTAGTGGTACTTCTTGGGGGGTGGCGGGGGGAGATCAAGCAAAAATTCCAGTAACATCTAGCTGGCCTGTCTACCGATCACATAGGCAAGACACAGAATCCTGTGGGCTCAAAAACATCTGGAGGTTTTCTACCTTCCTTGTACTATCTTTCTTTATTTATGAAGCACGACTCCTATTACAAAGACTTACTCATCCAACATTGTCAGTGAGCACCAGCTACATACGAGGCTCTGAGAAAATAAAAATGAAGATTCTCCAACCCTCCATCTTCATGAAATGTGTAGTTTACCAGGGGAAATCAGCCGAGAAAGAGTGACTCTTTGTTCATAGACTGTAACCAAGGTCTTTACACCCCAGACTCAGTCTGCATAGCAACAGCTGGACCTAAAACAATTTTGAATGAAAGCAAGCAGTGACCATGTAAATACAAAGGTAACAAAGAGCAGCATGATAATGCAAAGAGCTCCTTGGAGCCCTGCCACTTCTAGGCCACGAGTTCTCGTGACCATAACAAATGTCACTATTTCTGGTCACTCAGGGAATTGAAAATGTTCAAATAAGCAACCTACCAATTTGATCTAAGTTGGTTGGTCTTGAAAAATGAATCTATTTGGAGCTTTATCATTTTTAGGGTGGGGAATGATCACTTCTCTTGGATGTTGTTTATCTTGGTATCTTGTTCTGTGATAGTTAATAAGCACCTACCACACAAAACCAGTGGAAGCCAAGATGTTCGTCATTTACAGCCTACTACAACCTCAGCTGATTCTCTTTTGTTCTAACCTCAAGATATTTAAACTCTCTAATAGCCATTTGTGCAAAAAGCTAGATAAAGATGACCCACCCTCAGACAACTACGTCAAAACACTCACGATAAGTAATTAGGTAGCATTTGACCCACATGATGGTCTTTATAACTATGTGTTATAAATAATCAGTACCTAGCTACTTAAAGTCTGAACACAGTATTTGTGCAAAGAATTTACTACCAGTGGATTCTCCATGTTTCTCCCGTCTCACCATCCTCTCAGCTGGAGCCAAATGTACCTCTGGGCAGTAAGAATATCAGTCCAACAAGGCGAGATAAGCCTGGAACAATTACAACAAAAGGACATCCATCACCTCCTGGGGGCAGTAGAGCCGAACTCCACAACTTTCATAACAGAGAAATCAGCATTAAAAACAGATTTTTAAAAAGTCATCTTGCAAAAGTTGAACACAGCCTAAAAGAAAACTTCCTTAGGCCCCCTTACTTTTCATAGCCCCTCCCCCACATCATTCAGTTTAGATAATTTACTCCTACACTCTCATAAAACCCCAGAAAGGCAAGGTAAAAGTAAAGCAGATGAGATTACATTTCACTGTGTTAGGCTACTTAATTGTCATTTTTCTCCTTATCCAATTTATTTCACATGCTGGGCCTGACTGTAATGACTAATTGCTTCCAGCTTCCTGAATTAGTTCAAATAGGTTCATGTGAAGATTTCTTGAAACAAGCAGAAAGTGGAGTTAAAATTAGTAAGGGTAAATAAGAGTAGAAAAACTTTCTGTGGAAGAAAAACGTTTAGAACTATGGACTGGAAAAAGTAAGCTATGAAGAAAGATATGGGGAGGGTAAGGAGTGAAGACGGGGTGTTTTGGTTCAGGATGTGATTAACTCACCAAATGAAGTCGGGTACAGAAGGAGAAAGCTGAAAAAATTATGACATCAGAAGTACTAAAAAAAA